GATGAAATCACTGTTATCAATCGGTCTATCGTAACACATGTTCAATTTTCAAACTCCGAGTTATCTAATCCTGTGTCACCGCATCCATTAGTAATTTCATGTTACGAGGTGATATTTTTTATTTTATTTTAAGAATAGAAGATAGACGCATTAAATTAAAAAAATAGAGTGCGACGCGGGACGTATCGCAAAAGTGAGAACTATATTTTTAGGTTAGATATTATGATGGCATGATATGATAAATGTAATTGATAATAAAATTGTATCAATGTTAAGTCATTATTTTATTATAAATGCAAAATATTATTACAATATAAGAATCAAATATACATATGTCATCTTAATATTAATTATTTTATTTTGCTGTTCACACTCTCTATCAGTATCACTATCACTCATTTTGCCGCGATACAAACTCCAGAAGGAGCATGCAATCACGTATAAATAAAATTCTCACTTTAAAAGTTTCTTACATAAAATAAAATTTAAAGCGGTGTCCGGCGATACGTAGTTATCCGCGTCGTATATTTTATATAATATTATCCACGATATTACGTGCCGTGTATACACAGAGTTGTATAAAATGAGACGAAAAAGAATCTGTGCTTGGCTGCCTGCGCGCGCATAGATGCTAAAGAGAGGAGAGTCGCAGCTGTTATGCGCGCGCCCCGCACCATGCCCCGTCCTCGGACGGACGCGGATGTTCAACGAAATAAGTCCCCAACCAAGCGCGCGCAATGAAGTTCTCACTTAAAAAACAAAAAAATCTAAGTAATTTTATTTAACCAAAATTACAGCAGTCCTCCAGGGCATGCTCCGGTGCCCCGATGGTCTAGTACAATCCTGTCCGCGGCTAAATGCCACTTTACTACCTTCATATTATTATACAAAATTATTCATTTTCTAACATTATGTTAGATAAGTGAAAATTGAAAATTAAGATTTAAAAAAAAAAATATATAGTAATAGCTATAACCAGCTGTTTTGTACTTATTTTAAAACAAGGTACGTTAAATATCAGAGAGGGCACGGCCAATCCTTATTTTTTCCAAGAGGGGGAATTGTCACCTCTTCCCCTCCAGTTTATGCCTATGGTCCCAACCGTCCGTGCGTCTGACATCGTGCGTCGTTTTTGATGGAATATAGTTTCACTGTACATCCCAGACAACCCCCCACGCAGGCTTAAACGTAATTGGAATCGCGATCGTAAATCCAACTAAAAGTTCATGGGTGTCGCCAATGGGTGACTTCCTTAAAATTTGTTCTTTATTTTATGTGTTTATACTTCAATTATATTACTAAATGTACTTGTTTGTACAGATTTTTTTACATAAAAAAAAATTAAAATTAAAAAAAATACATTTCCATATTATTTATTTTTTTTAAATTTTTTCATTTATTTAAGTATACGTATTCAAAAAATTTTCATATTCTGTTATTTATTATTCGTTGAGTTGCATTAAAAATAATATAAAAATTAGGGGGTGCGATTCGAAAAATGTTGAAAATCACTGCTGTAGTAGAATTTTGAAATATACATCGAAATTACCACGGTTAATTAATTAATATTATTTTTTAACCTTCACAATGAAAAGTAAAATAGTTTGTAGTGATTTTATTTTTTGTTTATTTTCTTCTAATATATTAATATATTATTTTACGAATGTAATAATTCAATTTTAATGAAATAATGAATACATTTTAATTATTTAATAAAAAACGCCATATCGACATAGATACATACACGTAATCCATGTAGAACCAAAATTTGGTTTAACATTTAATTTTAAATGACATAGAGCTGCAAGGCGGCATAATAGCCACGGTAGCTGGAAAAAATAAAACCTAAACTACTGAACAACTTTGTACAAAAAAAAAAAAATGGGAAAAATGCAATATCATCAGAAAATTGGAACGTATAAAGATCCTGATTTTTTTTATATTTATAAGGAAAGGATATAATACGTTTCGATTGGCAGCCCCTACATGTATTGGCATACCTTATTATTGATTAGTTAAGAACTTATATGTATATATTACTCTACATTGCTTTTATCACAGTTCATCGGTCATCAATAGTACCATAAAAAGGCCCACGCCTAGGTTGGCATTTTTCCTGGACAATTTTTATGTATATAAAAAAATATTTGATAAAATATTTACACGTAAGGGGCGGCAAAAATTAAATTTCGTCTATGTTTGTTTAAACACTTAAGCCGGGCCTGTTTAAGGTATAAAAAAACCTCTCTCTACAATTGACCTTGTATTGGACTACTAGAGAGTTTCTAGATTTAGAATGTTATGTAATCGTTATTATCGTAACTATAAAGTCACCGCATGAGGCGGTTCGACCGGATGTTTCGGTATTCCGGTTAGCAGTATATGTACAATGTATACTGCCTACATGATATTATTATAGTGGCTCTAACCAGTGGTGCGCAACTTGGGAATTGTGATACTTGAGGGGTCACCACATTTTAATAATTTTATTTATTTAGTTATTTTACAAAACAGGCCGTGGCCCAAAGCACAATTTTTAAAGACACAGACATACAGATTTAAATATAATTTAACAAGTTATACAAAATAGAAAGTGGGAATGTTCTCGTTTGCAATGCGCATAATTCTGAAAATAGGTCTGTTAAACAGTTTTGTATTAATATTTATCCATATAATTTTCTAAAATTGAGTTTTTGATTACAAATTTTTAACAGGGTCTAAGACCTAATTTGCTTAAGATTATTATGATTTGAGTGTATATATTAAACGTTTTAAAACATAAAAATTTCGTAAGACATGTATATTATACATAATGTATGTTTTTCAGTTGTTATGTTTTGTTAAAATTATATTTATAGTAAATAATTGATCATTTCGATCAAATCTAACCTATAGAGTTCTACTACTCTACCCAATTGATATTTTTTTTAAAATTGTATTTTTTATACTTTTAAAACGTTCATTTTAAATTAGATATGTTAAAACAGCAGTATCACAATTTTTAATTTAATGATACCTTTTCAGAAAAATTGTCTTGTTATCTAAATTGATTTTTCATAACTCTATCATCCTGGTAGCGCTACTTACGAGTATTCATAATCAACAAATAGTAATTATTTATTAAACAGCACTTTGGAAATAAAAAAACCCATGATAATGTATGTATATGCGCAATACACACATAAATAGAACATTTTTGGGTGCAAACGATAAAATTCCGAAATGTCCGTAACGGATTAATTGTTTTCATTACATTTTAAAAATACTGCGTTAGGAAATGCTGTTTCATCTTTGTTGATTGTTTTAATGTTTTTAATTAACTTATGAGGCGCGATGAATTTTCTCTCGATAAACAGGACGATAAAGTCAATATTGACAAAGTTAATAAGCGTTTACAACTTTAAAAGAAAAGTGTGTTCTTTCCCTAAGTGAGAAGCCCTCAGTTAAAGAGCTCTGGTTGTCGCCCGTCCCTGATATCGGATAATGTGATTATTGTTTTTCCAATGTTCCAACGTCGTCTCATTCTTCTTGGGCTACAATCAAAAACGATAAGTGTACCTAAGAGTATTATTATTTTACACTATTGTAATGGCATAAAGTCTAAAATGTTGTACATAATAGAATATTTATAAAACTGCACATATACATCAGGGGTGTCCAACCCAAGGCCCGAGGGTAACATGCGACTATCACACTAATCTCATATACTGGAAACAAGTAGTACCAACATTTTTGTTTAATTATTGAAAAAAACGTTTTTCTTCTTTTATTTATAAATACATTTATATTTTTTCTTCGTATAATGATTAATATGTTGTATTATAAAAATTAATATCCATTTATTCATTAGTGTAATTAATTAAAAATTAATTTTCAAAATACGAGTACATGTGACCCAGAATATATAAGGGTGTGGTATAAAAATATGATAATTTTAGGCACTGATATTATTGTGGTATTAATGTGAAATCTATATCAAAATATTCAATTTTAAAAATGTAGAAAAACTTTTTTATAAATAAACACAAACATTTTAAAACGTCGATGTACTCAAATAATATAAAATAAAAGGTACGTTCAAATTTAAAGTTATTCAATTACGGAGTGTAATATGTTATTTTATTACAGGAGATACTGATTAGAATTCCTAATCTACTAGATTAGTAGATAATATAATTTTTTTTTAGAAAATAAATTTATGTACACAAAACTGGATACCATTGAAACCAGTGGCGTCATTTGAAGGAGGGGGAACTCATGCATTTGCCGTAGTTTAGAGTTTAGTTATTCTAAAGTTGGGATATCATCAAAATACGTCTTATATAAATCCATTGACATGTTGTAAATTAGAAAAATTAGACGTGCACTATGCGTTTATATTTATGTACAAAGTATAAATCATATTTTTTGGACTGGTTCAGCATTTCCCTTCCCAATGTTAATCGGTAATTTGTTAAATGAGACGCCCAGTTGGTAATTTAATAAGAGCACATCAAGTGCTCTATTCTAGAATTTAACTGAAATGACGCCACTGATTGGAACACCACCAAAAAATCTATTGATGGCAGTGTAGATGTATCATATGTTTTAAATGCCATTGCTAAGTTTATTAAAAAATAATTTATGGTGTTTTTACGTAAATTATTTTAATATAAATTTGGGTATTTTGTTCGATTATCAATAATGTGGGATCGTGTGCCATGGGTTTCGAATGGTGGTGTGCGCAGGAACATTTCGGGGTAAGTAAGGTAGGTGGTTCTCGGAATCAGTGGACATTACATTTGGTCGATCGATCGCCACCATCGTTGCTCGGAGACCGATAACACGTCCGGTGTACACACTCGCACTCGCTCATACGTGCACACACATACAATAACACAGGACAATGCATATATACAAAAACGCACACGCAAGCATTCGACGTCTCACGAACGACGATGCGCGCGCACATTAGAGACGGGACACGCGTGCGCATAACGGGCCGTTGAGCTCGTCCGGGGATACCGTTGATTGTTGGGTCGGAGCGTATTGGTACGTGTTCCGACCGTGTCTACTTTTAACCATGCTGCCACCGCCGAACAGCTGTTTACAGTGTTTTTTGAATTTACCTCCCCCGTCCCACCATGTATCGCACCGCCCGGAAAGGTACACTGCGTAGCTGCTGCTGCCGTCCACGGTCTACCGTCTCTAACACATAAATTCCGAAGGAGACTTCATTGTCCTCTCGGTCGCTGCCGCTTTCGGTCCGGCACCATCCGACACCGTTTGCTCATCCCACCACCGGTTAGTTTTCTTCTTCCGTTGGACGTTACACACCTCCCCTTCCCCTTAGTAGTCTCCACTAGTGCCACTTCCATTGTCACTGTTACTACCGCGTTCAACAGGACAACTAACCGCTGCACTGACGACCTAGACTTTACCGAAGGTTTTGGGTCCGGTTGGACATTGCCTTGTCTTCGGCCGACAGCCACGGTGATTTCAGCAACGATCGTGTTATCATCTGTTTATGCAGTCTGCTGTTACCGAACAGCTGTGAGTGAGAGAGAGACAAGTGAGACAGTAAACGATCGAGTAAGTGTTACAATATTGTTATTATTTTTCACTTTGGTAATTATGCTGTTGATGATTTTATAAATTTTTATTTTTTTACATTTTATTATTCTTTGTGATAATTGGTCCTAGGAGTGTGAGTACACTTATTTATTTCCCACGGCTGCTTACTCATTGATTTTCATAAGCCATGGATGTGGATGATATAGACTGCCAACATCTCATGGAAGCGGTCAAGAATTTAAATGTGGACGCTGACGAGATGAGGGTTACACTAAACAACAGGAGTTGTAATGGTAAAGCATATTCTATTTCTCGATAATGTAAATTTTTTTTTGTGTGGTGATGGTCTCTTATTTATATTACTAGCTATGTGGCTATGTTCTATTATTTTATATTGGTTTTTTTTAAATGTATTCTTAGTTCCATATTTATGGTACAAATATTAATTGGTGAACAAGTTAATAGAGTACAAAGGAAAACAAATATACAAGTAAAAATATTCAGGTCCCTATTCGTTATTTTTAATTATTTGAATTACATTTTTTTATGTTCATTGTTCAAAGTAAGTGTTCTTTTTGAAATTTAATTTAAGTAGAAAGCTAAATTTAATTGTTAAATTCAATTTAAATTATTTCAACTATAGTTAAAATGGATGAATGATGTTTCATTTTGTCAATTTTATTTATATGTATTATATAAACAAAAACTTATCAAATTAATTGATAGTCTTTGATCTTTTATTACAATTATAATAATTATGTACAAATAACCATACCTACTGCATGTAATTTTTTAATTTTAATCTAACAATTATTATTTATATAGCTTAAATTATATTATTCTCTATTATACTGTATATGATTATATTATAATTATTTGCCTGGAATGGAATATTTTGTTGAGTTTTGCTCATTCAAAGGCTTATTTTAGTATTATTTTCTTAATGAAACATTAGCTTACAACATATTAAAATTTATAAATTGTATATGTTTCATTGTTATACAATTTTGGTGTTATTAGTTTCTTGGTTCTGCTTTAGCTCTATGGTATGAAATTATGTAGTGGAAGCTTAGATCATATATAATGAATGGAGTCATACAAATTTGTGAAGTCAGTATAACAGTAGGACCGCACTGATATGTGCATGCGTGTAGCATCTTATTATTAATTTTAGACGTAGATATTGATTATTTAACAAGATCATGATTAACTATAAAGTATAAGTGTTTGTTAAGTTTCTAAATGTTTCTTTAATTCTTATTTATTTTTACTTATAATGCATAATATTATGTATCATAAAATGTAAATGTTGTATTGTAATGTATTAATTATAATAATAATAATTTATTCAAATGAATAAAACGGGCTAAGATTAACTTTTAACAGATGCATACTCATAAATTTAAAATAATAATTACAAGTGTTCTAGAAACTAGTGTAGTTATAACAAAGAAATTACTATATGGAAAAATAGTACGGACAATAGTTACTACATAAATATTAGTGATATTACTAATTTTTAAATAAAATCATTTTGTTGTATTTATGTCGCACATTTTTGCCTGCCATTGATACTGAATGCATTTGAGCTTTATGATTTAATCTTAATAATATATATGGCTCAATGAAAAATTGTATCAATTTACTTCGATGGTTATTAAAAGGATCTTGATTTTTATTCGACATTATTATTAACTATATTGTGTATTTGCTACATAAAAATGATGATTAATAACAATGTTTCATAAATTCAGAATTAGTAATGCCAAAATACAATTTTAAATGGGAAAACAGATTGACATTTGACAAGCAGGCGCAGATGTCACTGGTCCTATAGTTATGTTGACTTCAACTCATTCTATAGGTGTGATATGCGATAATTCCATCCATTGTATATGATTTAAAAGTGGAGGGTTAAGTTGTTTTTACACTGTCTATGTAAGCGATTTCTAACCTTTTTTTTATCTATTTACCACTAACATAATTGAAATTTTGGCATTCATGTAGCAGGTGATCTACCGGGGTATGGGTGATCTCAAATTCAGGACGAGTAATTACGTTTTAATTGTTTAAAAACATATTATACATAGTATATTATTTACTACGAGTACATCATATCATACAAATATTCGTTATATATAAAAATAAAAAATAATTAGCCAAATATAATTATAATTTTAATTATAGTTAACATTTTTAGTATCATTTAAAAATTTAAAAAAAATATTTTGAGGATTAACTGATCTCCACCATGCTTCAATCAGATGACAATGTAAAAGTTCCGATGTAGTACTATTTCTTATCAACAATTATTTATTTTATAAAATTCAGACCAACCAATAATTTGAAACTAACCTATCCAGCAACATTGCTATGACTCGTAGTAATATTGTAAATGTCATTAATTGTTATCGCAATACTGTCCCACTGTGGTTTCCGATAATGTGCGTATAATAATAGTATAATATAATATAATAATAGGTAATAATTAGAGCGCAGATCTTTATGTAATTACATAATTTTATAAAATGTAAATCTCTCAATTTCGATTAAAAATAAGGACGTTTCATAACACCCTGAATAATATAAGACCTTTTTTTATTTTACATATTTTCACATATTTCGATGTAAATACATATTTTTAAATATTTCATCAGTATTTACATATTTTGTAAATATTTCACATTTTCATACCATTCAATACAGTTTTTATTTAATTTACAATTATTATATTGGAATTAAATAAAAGAAGATATTTCAAATCTTGATTCAGGTATTACAATCAATATTACTTCTGATATAATGTAAAACAATAACTTGCAAAATAATTTAGCATATATTTCCACATTTTTTTTTTTTTTTTTTGGGTAAAATAATAAAAAATTAGAAAAATTAAATCTAACAATAATTGAGAGTCTCGCGATAGTGAAATGTGCAGAAAGTTAATAAAAATAATTTAAATGAGAATCTGGAGTTGTAATAATAAATTGATTAGACTACATACTGGTTAATATGTTGGTTTACAAAAAAATTAAAACTATTAGAGATAATCTTATTGATAAAAATGAAAATATGTCAAATTATATTGAAATGAAATAACGCCATCTGATATATGTGGTATGAAATATGCCCCATTAACCTCTGTCAACGTTGAATGCACCCTCAGCCGTTACGAGTTGACTTTGAAATCTAACCGCCATACATTAAAATTTGAAAATCTTTAAATGTACGTCGTATCTAATTGTTTTGAAGAAGATAACAATGAAGATGATTAAATGAATAATTATTAGTTAATAATTAAAAATTAATGTAGAATACCAATTTTTTTTTTAAATATTTTACATTTTTTAATACATATTTTAGCAAAAATAAGAACATAAATATTTACATAATTTGACTTTTTTATTACATAATAATCCGCACCCTAGTAATAATAATTGTAGATCATCAATTACACCTTGTATTATAAGGTAGATCACCTGCTACATGAATGCCAAAACTTTTAACATAATTCGATAAAATTGATAGTTATATTTTTAGATCAATAATATTATCTTTTGTTGCCTATAAGTATATGTTATTTAGATTGTCAATTATTTAAATAATTTGAGATAGAAGTGCACTTATGGTACATATTTTGAATATATGTCATTTAAAATATTATTCTTGTTATTTGTATTTTATTACTAAATTAAAATTGCTAAATGATTTATTCTATAGTTATTTTTCTTGATATCTCTTTAAACCAATGTTTGTTTTTTATCCTGGTTTTTGTGTAAGTAGACATTGGTTCTTTAATTTTAATCAAAACTATTGGTTTTTAGGTTCTAGTTCCAGTTACACTTCTTTATTTTTATTAATTGAGTGGGTTAAATCCATAGTGGTGTAAGTCACAATTCTGTATAAATTGAGTTATGTATTGTAGGCTTATCTGTAAAAGTCAATTTATTGAATGGTAAAGTCATAACTCGTACTATCTTCCATTAGATGGCACAACAATATTACTTCACTTTGCCATACATTAATTGACTTTTACAGATATGTCTATATTACATAACTCAATTTTTATGGAATTGTGACTTACACCAGTAAAGCTTTAACCTACTCAATTCTTAGTGCTCTAGTTTTATTATATCTTACAATTGATTAATGGTAAGAGAAAACTCCTTACAAGATGAAAGTCTAGTTTAAATTTAGTAAGCAACAAATTTCTTAATTAAATATAAATTCATTTTAATATTCATATGTTAATTTTTTTAATTTATTTTTATTGTGCTCACCAAGTAAATTTAGTGAATTATAACTTTTAATCATTATTTAAAATATTTCATTGAAATTATACTTAATTTGAAAGCAATATTGACTTTTTATATCATAAATATTGTTAACAATTTTTTATATCATTTGTGGTAGTAAATAAGTTACATTGTCTTTAAAAATGTTTGAATTAAATTTATTGTGATATCAAAATAATTAAAACACTTTAATAATTATTTAAAAGGTTCTTAATGAATCAAAATCTTAACAGACTTATATTGATTAGATTATAAAGTCTTTAATATATAGAAGTAAATTATGAATTTTGTTCACTTTAAAGGCATATAAAATCATTTGCTTAACTTAAATGATTATAGTCTGCTCTACAGTTTTATAGGTTACTAATTTAATTTGAATAATATAAAAATTTTATTTTTTTTCAACCCTAATTTATTATAAACTGTGCATACCTGAATTTCCTAAACTTTTCTCAATACAATCCATTTCGGGTTACTCATTACTTTAATGCGGATTTATATGCATTAAAACCAATCAAATATGAGCCAAAAAATCTTTAACATGCACAAGTATATGCCACTAATGCACTAATATGTTAAAATTTGCATTATAGAAAAAAAAATATACACTAGAAATTTGTCAAAAAAAAAAATTTTCATTTTTGAACATTTAATTAAAATAATTCATAAAAAAATTTAATTTAAAATTATATAACACTATTGAAAAAAAATTTTTCTTCATTTTAAATGAAGTTACTAACCAAAATCATTTTGTAGGTAGTTATCATCAATAAGAAAATGAGAAATCAATATCAAAAATATATCCTAAATAAAATTTTCTTTCATAAATGCACATTAATACAATGTATGAAATTTTTATATTTTGAAAATTATCTTTCCACACCTGCAAAAGTAATAAGTGCCTATAAAATATATCATTTAATTTGGAAATAAATCTTTGTTGGTTTGAATTGATTCACTTTTACCATTTAAAAATTTTAATATTTTATTATGTCATA